CAAAACCGGAGGAAAATAAGCGAATTGCGGCACAAAAGTAAAAAAGAAAAAGACAACAGCCAACGCCCACACATTGCTTTACTGTGACCATGTGTGGATGAGTCCATGTCCCTCCTCTTCCCAGAAGGTGGAAGCAGAAACAAGATCTACGGCTTGCTTCAATGCGCCCAGTAACCCCGCAGTGAAACAGTGGAGCTATCCAACCCACTCACACGCATGCGCACCACCAACAAATTTCTCGTGACGTCTTTTTTTTCTTTTTCTTTTTTTTGCTCACCGGGGCTTCGTTGGGGGCCCGCGAAGTGTCAGTCTTTGCCCCCTCCGCACTCTGCCCGTCCCCTCCGTGTGGGGCGCATTGCCGTTCCCGGCGGCGCCGCCACCACCACCACCAGGCGCAGTAGTGGCTGGGGCTGAGGTGGAACGACGGAGACAGCAACGAGGAAGCAAAGAACTGCGCCCGCGCTGCCCCGCCAACGTGGCACCATTTGAGCACCGAGAAGGAAATTAAAACAAAAAAACACGCAGAGGAAAAAAAACACCAGAATTGCACGCGAGACGCGGCGTCGACGCCATTGGCCTCGCCGGTCGCACGCTCTCCTCTCGGGTAACTTCGCATTTTTCAGAATGAGGGCGCAGCTCCAAAAGAAAACAAAAGCAAAACCAAGAAAAAAAGCAAAAAAAATTATTACACTGATGCTAGGGAAAAACAAAGGGGGATAAAAAAAACAGCCCGTGTGCAGAAAGGGTAAAAATGAGCTGAGAATTACGCTCCAATTCCTCCGGTAAAAGGAAACAAAAAATGGGCTCCCAGGGCACTTCTGCCCGGGGAGCCGGAAACGAACTCCCATCACTTTTCCTTTTTCTGTGCTCTGATGCAGCCTCATCTTCCGCACGGTCGCCTGCAGCGGAGCGGCTGAGCAACTCCAAGCGCCCAGCAGAAACGCGTATACCTGACTTTATTCATTGAAGTGAGGGAGATATGTTCATATATATATATATATATAAGAATGTAGCTTACATTCTTCCCTTGTTTATTTTCGTCTTTTTTTCCTGTTTTTGCGCACAGTAACAGAAAAGCTTACGCTCACTCACTCACACACGCACACACATACATATCGCCCAAGAGCCCGGACGGCGGTTGGTCGCCTACTGCATCGCCACGAAACCAGGAGGCACATCGTAGCAGCAGGCGCCGGGGAACCTGCCCGTCACCGTCATCTCCATCAAGGACTGCTGCAGAGTGCATTGGGGGCAGCAAAAGGCGCTGCAGAAGTCGCAACAGTTCGAGCCCCGGATGTTGAGGTCGGTCCGCAGCCTGGTTCGTGCCACACACTGTAGGACTGGGGAGACAAGGCCACCGCAGCAGTAATCCCCAAGGCATGCGCCGAAGGCTATCAGCCAGTCTATGCCGGGCTCTTGCCGCTGGCAAAGCATACTGTACTGTCGGGAGAGCTGGCAGTAAAAGCAGCACCAGGCCTCCAGGCACGGCGAGCAGTCCTGGCAGCAGTGGCAGATGCCGTACCTCCAATCCCGCAGGGGAAATTGGTGCACCGGCGCGGTCTGAGGCATCAGCTGCGGTGGTGGTGGCGGCGGCGGTGGCGGCGGATAATAGAATTGATTGGCCATGGGCACCCCCATGACTTCTGGGCCGGTTCCCAGCTTTTCTTGGTAGGCCACGGGGTACATTTCGTTCCCTCCTGGATTCGGCGCCTGCATTTGAGCTTTAAAATGCCTTTCTGACGGAGCGTAGACAAAACGCACGCAAAGGAGACAAACTGGAGAAACTTCTCTCCGGCAGAAAAAAAAAAAGCGGGACAAGAAGGGCAATGGAAGAGGACATGGGCGCAAAAAAAGGCATTCGTGGGGAAAGCCACGAGTGCTTGTCAACCCGCACAGCTCGGCTGTCTGAAGCCGCCCACGCCACAGTCGCCCCAAGAAGAATGAAGTTAAGCCTTAAAACAAATCAATACAACCCATCACCGTCGGCGACTTGCGGCAAGGACGTCGCGCAGCAAATCGCTTGAAAGTGACTTCACGCGTAGTGCCTTGGCCTCGAACAACTTCTTTGCGTATCCTTGCGCGGTTGACGCCCTGCTATCGGGGTGCAACTCCTGCAGCTGCTGAAGAGCGTTGTGGAGGTCTTTGGCCCACGCGGCGATGGGCAACTTGGGCACCGCACCAACCTGCAGAAGCGCAGTCAAAATAAACGCCTCGGGAAAGAGGAAGTCGTGGGCCTGCGGCGACACCACAGTCGTCTGCAGCGCCTCCTGAAGAGCGGTGGTGTGTGGAAGGACGGCGCCCTCCCCCTGAGTCCCCACGAGCTCCAAGAGGGCGGGTGCGATGCTGCTCAGCACAGGAAGCATCAGCAGCGCATCGGCGTGCTCCTTGCACAAAAGTGTCGGCAGCGGCAACTGTGCCGGGGGCTGAGCTGCAGCCTTCTTTGCCTTTTTTGGCTTCGGGGTGTTTGCCACTTGCTGGCGGTGCTCCTCCAACAACGCAACGTCGTGCAAAAGCATGAGGCTGCCCAGCAGTTGGCGCGTGCGGTGGATGCGTTGCTCCTTCGTGGGCATACCAACGAGGGCGTCCGTCAGCGCCCGCACCTTCTCCCCGTGGATGTTCCCCAGCACCAGGGACCGCGCCACGACCCAGTCGGTGTTGTCGGTTAGCTCCCCCTCCCGCGAGGCCTGAAGGGACGCAACCGCCTCAACCAGCGTGTGCTCCTCTGAGCGCATGAGGTCAAACACGTTGCGCTGCGTCTGGCACCGCCGCAGCGCCGCAGCTACGCGGTGCACCGCGCAAACAACTCTCGCGAGGGAATTTCTCTGGCGCCGCTCGTACTCCTGGAGGTCCTTCAGGGACGTCCATGAGACGAACGCAAAGACCTTCCAGCGGAGCAGACCGCAGTCCTGCTCTAGCGCACGGTAGTGCTCCCAGGCCAAATCATTCCACTGGCAAACCTCGTCCACCGCAACGCCCTCCAGGAGCGGCCAGTAGCCAACGTGTGACATTGTGTCGTGCTGCACGCTCTTGAAGGCCAGCTGGCGCCACGCCTCGACATCTGCCAGACCCAGCAGGCGAGCAAAGCAAACTGAGTAAATAAGCCAGGTCGGATTGTTTTGCTTGCGGTCCACGGCGTCCAGTAATAAGAGCCCTCGTTCCACCCAGTCCAAATCGCGGGTCACATAAAAGGCATGCAGAACGATGTTAAGCGCAACTGTGATGTAGCCATCGAGAAGGCCCTCCTCGCTCCATGCAAGCTGCACAGAGAGCGGCTTGGTCTCGTCGTACGCGCTGCGGCACGCCCGCAAGAGCTCCTCCATAGCCGCGGGATCCGGCTGCTGTTCCCGCGTTGCGCCCCACGCGGCCACGTGACAGCGCAGTCCAAGAATTCGCCGGGTGTGGTGGCGCAGCACGTCTTCCTCCGCATTCATCTCCGCAGAGGACCAGTCGTAAATGGCCGCGGCCGAGGCCTCGTCCAAGTACGTCGAAACATCCAAGAAACAACACGCATTGGCGTAGAAGCGCTTCGCGTAGGCGACCGTTTTTTGCCGCAGGGCCTCGGTGGCCCCCTGGCGCGAGAGAATCTCCAGCTCCGCCATAAATGGGCCGCGGCACGGACGCTTGGCGCCGGCCGATGCGGGTTTGGACTGCAAGCTGCGGCAGAAGCGCAGCGCGTCCGCCAGCGTGTGTTCCTTCGCGGCCAGCTGAACGACGATGCGGCTCTCCTCGCTGGGGCCGTCCAGCTCCAAGACGGCGTCGGCGGGGTCCTCCTCGGACAGCGTGCTCAGGTACAAATCCACGAACGTCCAATTGTCTGGCTGACGCTGCCAGAGATGCCGCGCCACCGCACTGGCCCTGCCCAAGTCGCCGTTGCGGCGCAGCGCGTCCGCCAAGAGCTCCAGTCGGGCCTCGGGGACCCCCACTGCAGCACCCCGGGCGCTGCAAAGGAACGCCACGGCCTCGCTGTTGAGCCGCTGCCGCTGCAGCACCTCAACGTACATCCGCGATGTGGAGGCGGTGATGAAGCCGTTGCTTTTCAAGATACTCTCGTCAAGCATCTTTGCGGAGAGCTTAAGCAAAAAGTCGTCCGTCGCCTCGGGTGGGACCTGGCACAAGTTCGCCTGCACTGCCCACACCTGGTGCCGCACATCCCCCCATTTACGATAGAGCTGCACCGCCGTGCGTTGCACCACGTCATAGGCCCCCATGCGCACGTAGACCTGCGCCAAGTTCTCCATTGTGTTCTTCTCATTTTGGCCATCTTTCAAGCGCTCATAGGTGTGAGCCAGCGCCTCCCAGCTACAGCAGTGTCGGAGCACGTGAACAAGGGCATTTACTGCGTCCTTGTCCAGGACATTTTGCTCGCTTAGCGCCTCGGCCTTCGCCTTCGCCTTTTCCAGCTGGTTTGTCTTGAGCAGCAGGAGCGCCTCGGCCGCCAGCACCGCGTGGTTGTCTGGGTGCTTAGACAACGCCGTCTCCAGCAGCCCCTCCGCCGAGGCGAGTTTGCCCTCATCTATGAGGTTAAAGATGTGCACTGCAGAGCGCTCCGCCATGGACGACGCCATCTTCCCTCCTACCCTCCTCCCCAAGCCACAAAGTCGATACTTTTACCCGAGTCCTTCTTTATCTGTCACCCTGCTTCCCCCTCTCTCCACGCAGTGCGCGGGGGGCGGAAGCACAAATTGTGGAGGGGGGCACCACACACACGCCAAGAAAGGGTGAGAAGAGAAAAGAGGAGGGATAAGAAAACATACAAGGGCTTTGCGGGGTAACGGGGGAAAAAGAAAATAGCGAAAAACTCCAAGCACCATCCCGAGTGTACACACACACACATCAATGTATGTGTTTTTGCAAAGCATGCATGTGTGTGTGTATATATATATAGTAGGGAGGGCGAGAGGAGGGGGAGCCGGGTCCCAGTGCTACACTGCAGGAATGTGTGCGCAAATCAACGCTGGCCACCACCAACAACAACGGCGGCGCCCTTTCTTTCGTTTCTTCATGCTTTCTTTTCGTTTTTTTTTTCTTGGAGGGGAGGGGAGGGTTCTTCTCGTTGACTACCACATCTACTCCGCTGTGCCACCGTCGAGGAAATCCCCCGCCGCCAAAAGTGGCAGCAGTGCGCGTCGCAGCGCAGCCGCGTTGGTCCCAGGGAACACGCGGAGTGTGCTGAAGTCGAGCGTCTGCAGCGCCCGACGGAGGTCGCCCACCTGGACGCAGAAGAGGTACCGCGCCGCAGCCAGCGCCTCCGCGAGCTCCAGCTGGTGGTCCGACATGAGGGCGCGGTTGGGCACGACGACTAGTGGCCGCTTGTACTCCAGGGCCTCAAGGATGGTTCCGGCCCCCGCGTGCGCAATGACCAGCGCCGCGTCTTGGATAATCTCCCGCAGCCTCGGACGGTACGCAAAAACCTCCACTGAGACGGAGTTGCAGGCACGCACGCGCACCTCGTGCGTCGACGCCCCTTGTTGAATCAGCAGCCGCGTGATGCCCCGCCGCGCCAACGCCTGGCAAACCGCCTCGTCATCCACGGCAGCAACCAGGGAATCGAACTGAGTGGAGCCGACAGTGACCAAAGCCACCTGCCCGTTCCCAGGTGCTTGCACGTTGGCCTGCCTGTGCGTCGGCGGCGGCAGCGGCACCTCCGCGGCGTCGTGCGGGACGCCGACGTAAAAGAGGGATCCGTTGCCCCGCCGCCGCCTCCCGAGGCAGGCGTCGTAGAGTGGCCGCCACTGGACCGTACAGACGTCGCAGAAAGGCCTCAGCAGCCGGCCGGAGAGAGACATGTGCCGGACGCAGGTGTAGGACTCCATGTACGCGAGGCCGGGGCGGCGGTAGTACCACGAGGGCGAAAGCGCGGCCACCAGCAGGGCGGCCGCCACCACCGGCACACACACGCCCGGCCCATTCACCAAAAGCACGTCCGGCCTCTCCGCAAAGATAAGGCGCAGGGAGGAGCCGAGGGCGCGGAGGGTGGTGAAGATGGAGAGGAAGTAGCTCTGCCCCACCTCACGCGCGCGGGGAATAGTGAGCAGCCGGCAGCAGCGTCGAAAGTGGCCCTCCTCAAACTCCGCCGCCAGCGCAGCCGAGTGTTTGTCCGTGGCGGAGACGACGTAGAAGGGGCGGTTGGCCCGCCACACATCTAGCGGCAGCGCTCTGATGGCCCGCATCATCTCGCTCGTGTGCCCGCCGGAGCCCAGGACGACGCAGACGCTCAGTGGGACCTCATTTCCGCGGTGGATGGACGCCGGTGGTGCGCGCACAACGCAGACAAATCGCCACACCGCCCCCAGAAAAAGAAGCGCCAGCAGCGGGAACAACCCCATCGTACGCGCGCGCTACTGCCAGAGCAAGCAAAGAGTGTGGGGAACAAAAATAAAAGAATAATAATAAATAAATAAGTGGGAAGAGGGAAGCCAAGACGTAATGCAAGGGAAAATGGAAAAGCACACACGCACAAAACTGCCTGCAAGCATAATTGTCCGTGAAGCCTGCAATGCATGTGTGAAGTAAGTAAGTGAGAGAGAAAAAAAAAAAAAACAGAGGCACACACACACACATATATATATATATATATATGATGCCTTTCACTGCTGGTTATGCGGCACGATCGCGTTTTGCCACACGTTTGGCCGGAACCCACTTGTAGTGTACCAGCTGCTCCTCCGCCACGGCGGCGCGAATGCGCAGCTCGCCGCACCGCAGCGCCCCCAATCCGCCCCGCCCGCTGTCCAGGTTCTGCCGCAGCACGTCCACGACCTGGCCGCCATGCGCGCCCCGCCCCCACCGCCGCGACGCGTCGCACCCAACGTCCCAGGCGACGGAGATGCAGCGGTCGTCCAGAAGTGACCCGTGCAGGTCGCTCACGGCACACATCGCAGCACACTGCTGCTCAAACACGACAAAACAGAAGCCACACGGTGTCCGCGTCGCCTCGTTCAGGCCCATGACGACGTCCCGCACGTGTCCGCAGGAGGCGAAGTGCTCCCAGACCTGCTCCTCCGTGGTGTAGAAGGACAAGTTGCCCACGTAGACGGTGGTGCTCTTGTCAAGCTGCTCCTGCCGTCGTGCGACAAAATCCGCCTCCGGCAGCAGTGAGCGCAGCAACTCCTGGCGATCGACGTACGCCATGCGTGGCGTCACGTCAAGAAGGTACTCCGCCATTGAAGGCTCGCCAGGCCGCGTCGCTCGCAACCCACACAAGCACGCACCCGGCCAACCCGTCACCCTTCCCTCGTCTCCTTCTTCTTTATTTGGTTGCGCCTTTTCCGCTGCGCCTGCAGGGCCGCGCGTGGGAAAAGAGGGAGAGCGAGAGCGAGAGGGCGGGCAAAGCGAGGGGCGAAAAAAAATGCTGGTCATGGAAGAGATCAAATGACAAAAAAAAAAAAACATTTGCGTCTGCCTCGTCACGGGGCGCCCGGTGCCACACAGCGCAGACTGCGGGGTACGGGAATGCAGAGCAAAAATGCAGAGGTGCACGCAAAGGGACGTCAGCGAGAGGGAGTGAAAGAAAGAGAAAGAGAAAGAGGGACACACTCCCACTCAAGATGCGGGGGGAAAAAGACTTGGCTCCCTTCGTGCAGGCTGACACATCCCTACGCAAAGGGCAGAGCTCGAGGCACAAAGAAAAATAAGAATAAAAAGAAAAACAGGCGGAGACTGGCAACGCCGAATGCACGCAAAGGCAGGAGGGGGACGAGGCAGAAACTGGGAAACACCTCAAACGGGCCCGCCCTCTTCCATGGCCTTTCGTCGCGCCAAATACTCCCTGTAGCGCTGCCCGCGCTCCGCTGGTCGCGGCTGCCCCGTTGCGGGGGAGGTTGTGGCGTGCGCCGCCGCCGCCGTCGCCGCCGATTCCCTCGACGGGATCCCCAGACCTCCGAGGTCGAGCGCCGTCAGCGGCTGCCCAAGGGCGTGCGCCACGAGCCGGTGCCCGTCCTCGATGCGCTGCCGCACCGCGTTGCTCATCACGTCGTCGGGGTTGTGTGTCTCGACACCAACGATGAGTAGCAGGCGTTTCTCGAGCTTCAGCAGCACCAGCGCCGCGAAGAAGGGGATAAACATTGGGATGAACTGGTTGAGCCAGGAGCCAAGCACCAGGCTGACATCCATGTTGCGGCGGTAGACGTGGCCGTACATGACGTCGATGTCGTCCGCCACGAGGCCGGCGATCAACAAAAAGTTGAAGCCCAGTGGCATAATAAGTCGCGCCAAAAATATAATGCTAAAACACAGCGACGCGTTATCAGAGATGCTGGGAAGCATGAGGTATATGTCAAACACCTTGAGCTGCAGGATGGCCCAGTAGGAGCAGTAGGCCATGTAAAACATAAACATCATCGATCCCACAAGTTGGAAGTCACTCCGCATGGCCAGGGCAATAACAGAAAGCTGCTTGCTCGTCAGCGGCTGGAACGGCAGCACAAGTTCGCTCCAAAGCACCAGGAGGGTGAGGACGCAGGTGCACATAGCAGCCACCTTGTAGAAAATGCCTCGCACAGAAAACCAACACCGCTTGAGCGGGTTATTGCTGGACTTCACCCCACGTACCAACTCATCGTACGACAGGCAGTTGCGCAAGGTGGTGTCCCAGAGGTGATTCATGCGCAGCGCGATCTTGATGGAGTACTTGACACGCTCGTGGAGCACCTCCAAGTGCGCCAGAGAAACATCCGTGTGTTGGTCCCCCGTCGTCCGCTTCACACGTGCACTTGCGGAGTGGTACTGCGGTATGTCGCGGTCGGCGTTGGCGATCTTCTCCATCATGTGTGTCCAGTGCGCCCTGTGCTCCTCCGCCACCATGGGGTGAATCATCATGAGCTCGGCCTTGATCTCGGCCAGCTCCATGGCGGCTATGTCCAAGTCCTCCTGGATGTCCACCGCCTTGAAGTAGGCGCGGCGCAGCATCCGCACCGCGTCAGAGCTCCGCCAGAGCATCTTTGGCACTCCCACCAAACCAGCCGACATGAACAGCACCAGCAGAATCAGCCCCCAGGCATTCGCCAGGGAAATCGCAAGCTTCAGAATGCTGGAAAAGGAGCCGTACGCCCTTTTGAGGAAGACAATGTAGCCAAACAGCACAACGATGACGATCAGGTATATGGCATAAAGCTTCAAATTTGCCCTTATCGCGTGTTTGAGCTTTCGCCGGGGGACAAACTCCCCCACCTGTGTGTAGAGCTGCGACACGGGCAGCACGGCCCAGCCCATAATGTACGTTACCGCCACAATGGTGTACCACACACCAATCATCCACGTCTCCTTTGGCAACGCAGGGTTCGCCTTGGTGTCGAGGGCGGCGTTGATATCCACCACAAGAAGTGGAAACGGCAGAATGGTGGAAAAGAGCGCAACAACGCTGCACACACGACAGAGCACCGGTATACTTTTCGCGGATATCTTTGTGTAGTACCAGAAGATCAATAGCGCCGCCGCCAAGGAGAGGATGGAGAAAAAAACGCTGGAAATAACACTTCCCGCCGACATGACTGCCTGCGTCTAAGTTGAATAAACGCCCCTGCTGTTTGCTGCTGCCAAATGATGTGCGTAGTTGGTACGCAAATACAGTTAAATCTAGTAATATACGTGCGCAGGGGGCGCCGTGAGCCGATGTCTAGATAAACGTGTGGCGGGGACCCCACTGCGCTTCCCTCCCTTTGCCTTTCCCCTCTCCAATCCCAGCTGGGCAGGGAGAAAGAGAGAGAGAGAGAGAGAGAAGGAGGGGGAGGAAGAAAAAACGAGGAGCAACTGAACCCGGAGAACGAAAAATGGGGGCTATAGGCAAACGCAAACCAAAAAAAAAATGAGGGCAATAAATTAAATAATAATAGTAGTAGTAATAATAATAATAAAGAGCATCTTCTTCTGCTTACTAACCTTTTCCCTCCTCCACCTCTGCGTGTTGTTAGACGGCGTTGAGTTTTATTTGCGCCTCATCGCGCTTCTGCATCACCGACAAGATCTCCTCGCGGAGAGGGTGTGGCTGGGCTTTCAGCTGCAGTGCCAGCCGGTTACGCTCCATGGTCTGCTTCGAGAGCTTTTGCTTCAGCTCGGCAAAGCGGGCGTTCAGCTGCTTCGGCTGCATCGGCGTCGCCTTCGCGGCGCCCCCGCCGGCCCCGCCACCTCCACCGCCCAGTTGGGCGAGCACCTCCTCCAGCTCCTTATTTGCGCCCTCCAACCTTGCGGGCAGTTCGTCCTCGCTCGTGTGGAGCACAGCCTGCAGACGCTCCTTCTCCTTCATGAGGTGCGCCACCTGCGACTCCATCTCTCGCAGCTCCTCCGCTGTCACCTGTTGCTGTTGCTTGCCCCCGCCCTTGGCCTTCTGGTTGCCGGGGTTCAGCAGCATCGCCCCCTGGAGAACCTTCTCCATCGCCTTCGCGTCCACCTGGCGGGCGCGAGAACGCAGGAGCTCCTCGTTCCGTCGGCGCTCCTCTTCACGCGCGGCCAGGCGCTCTTCCTCCTGCCGCTCCCGCTCAAGCCGCTCCGCCTCCTGCTGCCGCAGCTCCTCCTCGGTGAGGACGGGCTCCGCCTCCTCCTGGTCCTCCTCCTCCTCCTCGGCCAGGTCAAAAACCGGCTTGCGGCCCTTCAGCAGGCGGTCCTTGTCGTGGGCGCGCTCGTCGGCGAGGAAGGCGTTGACCCGTGCGACCAAGCCGCTCTCCAGCTCCCTATAGTTCTTCTCGCTGATGGCGTTCGGGTCCACGAAGAGAGCCTGAAGGAAGGCGCTGAGAAGCGCCTCGTAGTGCTTCGTCTCGGCAAAGGCGTGCAAAAAATCCTTCGTGACCTTCCCAAAGGCGGTGAAGTTCGCCACCCCACTGGGGTCCGCCAGCTCAAAGGTGTAGCGGTCAATGTTCTTTGACACCCCGCCGGCCTCCCCGCCCTGCTTCGTCGCCATTTACTTTTTACCTTGTGGTTGTCGTTGTAGTTGTGGCTGTTGTGTGCGTGCGTCGCAGCTCCCGCTCTGCCCCCCGTCTGCAGTTTGCAAGGCAGCGTGAAACAAAACAACTGAAAGAAAAGGCGGAAAAATGAACGCAGAGAGGCACGGGGACAAATTGTGGATGCCTCGGAGGGCCGGAAAGAAAAACTTGTTTGGCATTTTTTTTTGTTTCTTTCATTGCGAGTCCCACTTCGTGAGTATATGAAGGGGGGGGGTCTTTTTTTTTTGTTGCTGTGCCACGAGCATAAGGCGCCAAGGGGCGAAAAACGCGAGGGCCAACTTAGCACCTCCCTCTCCACCGCATGCAATCGCCAGAACCGTGCGCCTCAAGTAATGGAAAAATTCCCCAGAAAGAAAAAAATGGTGTGCGAGAGAAAAAGAGAGAGTGAGGGGAAGAGATGTTTTGTCGCCTCTGCCTGCTTTCATGCTTCCTTTCTATTTGCCTTCACGCTTCTTCTTCTCCCCCACCACGTCTCCTTCTTCTTCATTCCGACGTGCGTGTGGGTGTGTGTGTTTGGGTGCACGACGTTCTCACCCCTGGCTTAGAACTTTGTGGTGGGGCGCGGGGGCTGCGGGCGCTTCTCGGGCTGCTCTTGCGACGGGGCCGCAGGCAGCGGCGGCGCAGGCGCCGGCGCGGCTGCCGCTTTGGGCACCAAAATTGACCCCAGAGCCACCGTTGCCCCCGCCGTGTTGTCCTGCACGCGGACGTACTCCTGCGGCGTTGACGCCACATACCGCGCCGCGGCGGCAGGGGTGTAGGCCTGTGAGTGGAACGGCACGGGGGTAATGGCCGGCTTTGTCGCAGCAGCGGTGGTGGCGGCTGTTGTTGCAGTTGGCGGCGGCGGCGACAGTGTTGCCGGCGGAGGAGGCACCACAGCGCCCTGCGGCAGCGCCGCCGCGCTGGTGAGCAACGGCGGAACCGTGCCCCAGTACACCGACGGCGCCTCCTCCGCGGCCACCTCCTCCATGACGCCGGGGAAGAGGAAGGTGTTGTTCTCGTTCCGCGGCGGCTGCCCCCACTGTCCCTCGCCGTTGCCCCACTGAGCACCGGGCGGGATGGGCGCGTTGAGGCCGGGCACCTTCAGTGTGGGGTACGCCGGCGGCAGACGACGCATCGCCTGCATGCCGTACAGCCACGGCGGAGGCGAGTGTGGCCCCATGCCTAATGCCGCCCGAAGGCGTTGCGAGAGATGCCCCGGCTCATGGTGCGTCTTCGGCAGCCACTTCCCCTCGTAGAAGATGTCCCCAAAGCGGCTGAGGTTCACATGAAATTGCTTCCGCCGCAGAGGCGTCCCGGAAATAAAGCAGGTCACGAAGGCCACTTGATCGGGGTTTGCCTTCTTGTCCCGCGTCGCACGAATGCGCTCCACGCCGAGGGCGGCGATTTCGGGCGGGACGATGTCCGTCGCACGCTCGCGGTCCGCCTGGTTCGCCAGGAAGGCGCGCAGCTGGCTCCAGTGCCGCGGCACGGGCACGCTGCGGCGCACCGCCTTGAGCAGCACCGTGAAGTACGGGTCCTCGGCGTTGCCGTCGTGCTCCGTGACGAGCGCGCTCGCCTCTGGCCCCTGCCGCGCGGCGACGAGGAGCTTCAGCGTCTCCCACGGAATCTTCTGCCGCCGCCGGGACCCCCGCGCCGCCGCCCGCGGCGCCTCGTTGACCGTCACGGACGGCAGTCGCACACGATCGTCGTCCTGCGCGTCGGGGCCGCCGGGCGCACCCTCGGCGGTGGACGAGAGCGGCGCGGCATCCGTCTCGGCCTCGTCCGCGGGGAGGACGTACTCCACCGGCTCCGCCGCCGCCGCCGCGCGCAGGCGCGTCTGCACCGCCTTCTCCCGCTGCTTTAGCTGCTCTCGCCGCTGCCGCGCCGCCTCCTTCTTTTTCTTCGCCAGCGTCATCTGCGGAAACCACGTCGTGCGTCGGTTTGCCCCCCACCCGCCCGCCTTCTCGCCTCTTTTGCGCCTCCGCTTAGTATTCCCTGCAAGAAAAAAAACAGAACACACGAAGTAAGAACAGGGCAAACGGGGGGTGTTCCGCGGAGCGGCCACCAAAAGAAGAAAAAACAAAGCAAAACAAAAGTGCCTGTCCCCGTGCGTCGTGCGAGGGACAACAACAAAGTGACGGACGCACAGTGGCGTGTGGGGGACAGACTGGAGAGGGGGCTGAGATGCGCCGGCGCCCCGCCCCGCAGAGAGGCGCCTCAGACGGGTGACTCCGGCAGCAGCTGCCGCAACTGTGCGTCCACGCGCCCAATCTCCTCGCAAAGAGGGCTGAGCGGATAGGACCTCACATGCTGCCGCAGCACCCGCCGGTAGACTTCAATGAGGTCCTCCTCCTCCCGCCGCTGTGCGCTCAGCATGTGGCGCTTGTACTCAACATCGCCAAGTGCCGCCGCGCCGTCGACGTCCGCCTCCACGGCCCCGCGCAGACGCAGCAGCGTCAACTGCAGGCGCGTCGCCGCTGCAGCCATGGTCGACCTCAGCGCCTCCTGCTCTCGCTCCTCCGCCGCCCCCTCGCGCAGCCGCCGGGAGTGCTCAGCGGTCAGTCGCGCCAACTCAACCTCCTGCTCCGCCACACGCCGCTGCGCCTCCTCCAACGACACGAGCAGCTCCTTCGCCGCGGCGTGCACCCGCCGCCACGTCGCATCCTCCGCCTCCCGCTCGCGCCGCATGCGGGCGAGGATCGGGGGACTTCGTGCCTCCGCGGGGGCGTCCACGTCCGCCCGCAGACTTTCTGCGGGCGGCGCGGTCGGCTCCTGCGCCGCTATAGTCGGGGATGTGTGCAACAACTCCCGCGCCCGCTCTATAGACTCGTGCGGTGGCTGGCCGTACTTTTCGCGGAGCGCCGAAAGCAACTCCTCCTCCAGGCCCTCGTACCTCCGCAGCAGAGCCTCTGCGTCCGCGGCGGCGGCGCCTGCGTCTCGCGACAGCCCTGCGGGAAAAAATGCGAGTACCTGTGACAGCAGCTCCGCCCTCCCCGCCGGGGCCCGCGAGGCCGTGGACGCGCGAGGGGCGGCGAGTGACGCCTCGCGACGACTGGGCGACGACTGGGCGCCCTCCATGCCCTCCTTCCTACACCAACCCTGCCTCTTTTCCCCCCGCTTGCGCACGCGCACACACTCCGCCGTGAGGCCTCGCCTTCCGCCTCTCGCTTCCTCCTTCCTCCCTTCCACCGGCAGCGGCAGAAGAACGACAAGACAGGAAAAAGAGAAAAGTACAAAAACAAACCCCCACATCCTCCTCTGAACGTCGCTCTTTTTGTTCCCCCTCCCCCTGCCCAATTTGGCTGCAGTGTATTCCGGGCGAATTCCTTCCAGTTGTCTTTTTCCCTTTAAAGTGGGCTTCTGTTGTTGTTTTGTTTTGTTTTCTTCAAATAGTTTCTTGCAATAAAAAAAAAGAGGGGTTATCTTCCTCACCGTGGGCATGGTGCCAGCACCTTCATGTTGCACGCACACACTCGCACAAAACTCACGCAGTGAGTCACAAACGCCACTGCCTACGCACCCACGCGAAGAGAACGCTACTTCTAACTTGTCCCAATCAACCAACCAACCAACCAACCCCGCCCCGCCCCGCACGCGCCGCCAAAGACGGAGGGAACAGAGCCTTTGCCTGCGTTGGCTGGTAAGGGACGGCTTGCATCCTAATGTGGTGGTCACCCACCCTGCGAATATGTCTCCTAGCAAAAATATATATTTTTTTTCTTGTCACCCCCACTATCAACCCCGTTGTTGTTGTGTTATTCTTCTTCGCGTTGTTTTGTCGTTTTGGCGGCTAGCCCCCGCACACACACACACAAACACACACAACCGCACACACGCCCCTTTCCCGCCCCATCCCTTCCCTCTCCTCTGCCCCCTCCACTACCCTTCCACGTCGCTGCACACACGCGGCGGAGGCCCTGCAATACACCGTACTAGTAGATCTGGGCCCGCTGCAGCGTCAGGTGGCCCTTCTCGTCCATGATCGCCTCGCGGCTGGTGCTGCAGAACCCACGCTCATCCACGAGCTCCGTCAGGAGGCCCGCATTGTTGTAGTACCCTGGGGAGATGTGCGGCCCTTTAAGCTTCAGGTTTCCCCGCGTGTTGGCGGAAAGAATCGTCGCGTCCGCCGTGCCGCGGTCTCCCACAACCTTCGCCTCCGCATGCGGCACCATCCCACACTGTCCCCGCTTTAGTGAGCGCCACGTGAGCATGTAGGCGCTCTCCAGCGGGCCTCGAAAGACGAAGACGTCGTCGAGGCTAAGTTCCTTGGCTAGCTTCTGCAGGTATTCATCGCTCACGAAAGGCTCACTGGCATCCTCAAACAACGCCACCCACTTCAGATGCTCGTACTGGTCAGCGTCAAAGTTGCCCGTGTGATGAAGCAGAAGATCAAAGTCCGCCTTCTTTCCAAGAATCCCCTGCAGCTCCTCAACGCAGAGCTTTTCAATCCCGTTAAGGGCGTGGTCGTCGGTAAACATGTCGCTGTGGATGTGCACAAGCACCGCCCCTGACGTCAGTGCCGCGTACGGGGCAACGATGGCGCCCACGGGGTTGGTGTGGTGGTTTGGCATCACCCCAAAGCGCGTCTCCGCCTTCAGCTGCATGAGTCGCGCGAAGAGGAAGCCGGCATTGACGCAGTTGCGGTGCGAAAAGGTGATGTGCAGCTTGTCCTCCGCCGCCGGGTTAGGGTCCTCCAGGGCCAAGATCGGGTCGTCCGGGTGCAGCAGCGCGGAGAGGCGGCGCAGGCGCTGCTCGTAGTACGAAAAAGGGCCCCAGACGAGCATCTTGCGCATCGGCGTCACACCGAGCAGGTTCATGTTGTGGTCTGTGATGACCACCTTCTTCAGGAAGAAAAACTCCTGCGAGTGCACCCACTGGAACTTCTGCCCCGGGTACGAGAGGCCTAACTCGGGAATGACGTTGTAGATCAGGTCCCAGAAGTGCATGTTGCGCTCCACCAACGCCCCCTGCTTCATCTCGGGGACCACTATCCACTCACGGGCAATAAAGTGATTGGGCTGAAACTCGTTCAGGTAGAAACGCAGCTTGTCGGCGCTGATGTTCTGGTGCGGCACCACCGCCAGCAACGCCCCCACCTTTGCGCAGGCCAACTGCAGCACAAACGTCTCGCAGTTGCATGGCTGAATTGCTAGTACGCGCTGGCCGGGACGCAGACCCGTCTGCAGCAGCCCATGAGCGAGAGCCTCGCTGTTCTTGCGTATATCGGCAAAGGCCCACCGCACCGCCTGGTGCTCAATGCGCAGAAAATCCTTGTAGTACATCTTCCGTGACTGGATGTTAACGTAGTACCCTACAAGCTGGTCGAGCACCGGCACCTCAACAGGCCCCTTCGCCTCCGAGTAGTCCTTGCGGGGCCCCGCCCCCACGGGCCCTGCAGCGGTAGCAGCAGCAGCAGCAGCAGCAGCAGAAACGTGCCCCGTGTTGAAGCGTGCTGGGACGGCGCTGGAGCAGCAGATGTTTCTCGTAAACCGACGAAGCATCTCTCCAGCTCTGCTACACGCCCAGCGCGTGCGTGTGTGTGCGTGTGTCTGAAGCCCACGTGCTCGCCAACTCTCGTAGCTGCGGTTGCGGCTGCTGTCTCGTGTCCCCTCTTGTGTCCTTCCCTCTCTACTTCTCCCCACAGACTCTGCGCGGGGGACAGAAAAGCAACCCAATGAGTGAGGGCAGGGAAGGAGTGTGTGGGCGTGTATTTGTGGCGTCAAGGGGCACACACACGCACAGCCGGAGGGAAGCAAGCAAACAAGAGCAAAAAAAAAACGCACAGGTACACACACACGCACTCACAGACACAGACAGAGAGAGAGACACGGACAGAGACAAAATCACAGAGACGACCCCCCAGGAACTCCACATCGAGGCGGTGACGTCGCCCAGGGACTCAGTTCTGGCCGATGCGTATGAGGTTGAGCAGCGCGCGGGTATCCCCGGCCTTTACGGCATCGCGGCAATCCGCAATGAGACGAGTCTTGGCCTGCCCAATGCGTAGTCTCCCCGCCCTCATGATGTACGCATTGATTTGCTTCAGGGCCGCCTTCAACTCGCCGTAGTTGTTGCACCGCTTCAGGTTCTCCGCAACGAGCTCCTTGTTGAGGTCGTACAGCTGCGCGTAGAGGCGCCGCATGTTGGGGAGGTCCGACAACAGCCGGGCGTCCTCTGCATGCAGAAGGAGCGGCTTCACGCTTGCGGCGGCGTCCGCCATGCTGCTGCTCAGCTTCACCCGGACCGCGTTGAACTCGTCCACGCACTGAATGGTCTCCTCAAGCGCCCGCAGCTCGGCAGGGAAGTGGCACACCGCCGTGGCCTCCTCCACCGTCGCGGCGCCCAGGCTCTCGACCACCGCGCCACACACCTCCATGGACTCCCCGCAAATCTGCAGCTCACGCTCCTCCGCGTTCCCTCGAATCACCAGCGCTCTGCTACTCCGCATGTCGAGGAACGTCAGCCGAAAGGCACCGTCTGTTGCTGGGACGCCTGGAAGCGAAAACGCCTCCGCTAGCCATTTTCCCAGTCGCGCGAAGGAAAACCCATGCGGCAGCTGCAGCGTGACGTACCCCGCCGGTGCCTCGTTGCACGACGTCGCCAGGTCCTCGTCCCGCCGCTGGTACATGACAAACTTGGGGATGTCTAGAGCGAGCTCGTGGATTTGGTAGCTCTCGGCGCTCGTGGCCCCAACCATCACGGAGGCCGTCACACGCGCCTCCACGCAGCGCTCAACGTTCACCGGGCACACAAGCGTCGCTGAGGGGTTCTCTGCGGTGAAGAAGGCGTACTCCTTGCCGGGGAAGAGCGTCTCGCTGTGGAGGATGCAGCCCTGAATAATGGTGTCGTGCTGGCCGTGGAGCACCGTGAGGACGAGGTCCAGCCTCCCCGTCGTTTGGTTGGGAAGCAGCTTGTGCCGCACCTCCGTGCCCACCTGCGGCAACGTCACGTCCGTGTCGCCGCTGCGCTGCCGCGCCAGCTGCTCCTCCACCACGGCCAGCTCGGCGGCCAGCGCCTGCCTTTCCCGCAGCAGCGCATCCAGCCTGAACGCCCCCTGACTTCGCACCACCTCCTCCCGCTCCGCCCCCTCCCTGTTCGCCAGCTGCAGGCCACGGACGGTCCCGTCCAGCGTGCAGATGACAGGCAGCGGCTGCCCATTCTGCCGGTAGTCGTCCGCAAGCACCGCGGCGACGGGGGAGGCGTACGTGTCCCTAAACAACACCCCCCGCTTCTCTGCATCGTCGCCACGCACCTCCACCCGACCGCTGCTCCACCCCACGACAAGCTCGGGCACGCCGTCAAAGTCCACATCACAGAATGCGGCGGAAACCGGGCGATGCCTCCCCTTGGCACGCCAAACGCGCTCGGTCCGGTCATACACGCCAATGCCACCATTGGCGGACAAGTAAGCAAATCGCCCCGGCACCCCGCTGTACACGATCTGGTGCACCTTGTCCACCTCCATGATGCTCGCGACGGTCACCTCGCCGTCGAACACGCGCAACTCAAAGTCCTCCGAGGCCGCTACCAACGAAGAGGGGGCACCGGCGGTGTGTTTGTCGTTGGCCCTCCACGGCACAAGCGCCAAGGCCGTGACCTGGTCGCCCGTCACAGTCCACAGCATCTCCGTCCCACTCTCGTCAAATCCGTTGATTGTGCAGATGCCTCCCACGATAACCAGCGGCAACGAATTCCCACCGCCGCCGGACCCTTTCACCGTGTTCACCACGCCCCACGTCATCGCGTGGACCCCGTCCTCCATGTTCTTGTAAAAGTATTCGCTATTCCGCTCTACATCGTAGGCAAGCAGTGAGGTGGCCGAGCCAAAGTAAAGGGCATCCGCGGCTTTTCTATCGGCGGTGTCCTGCACACGACCCACCGCCAACGCAGTGGGCGTCTTACCAAAGCTCAGCGTCCGCAGCGGCGCCACACTGCTCTGTGCCGCGCCGCTGCCCCTCTGCGACACCGTTTCGTGGCTCTCACTTGTGTGGATCACGAGCTGCTGCGTCGCCGTCGCACACACAAGCGACGGCGTCCTTCCATCAAAGCGGCCAATCGCCGCCAGCCCCTCCAGCAGCGGCGTGCCCAGCTGCAGCTCAAATGCGGGCCGCATGGCGTAGTAACTTGTCGGCGCAGACATGACTGGGGGAGGCCGCACAGCCCAAAGACGCGGAAACGAAATGGCACCTGCAGGCGGAGCAACGTCAAGACCAAACAAACACGCGCAGAGACAAGGCGGAGCAGAGAAAAAGTGAGAGAAAGTGAACAATGTCCGGGGTCAGGGACGGCAAAGAGTTTTCTTTTTTCTTCTTTCCTTCTTTTTCGTTTGTTTCCTTTTTTTCTCGTTCCCCACTCCCTCACCTGTGCCGCAAGCGCGGAAGAGGGAAAAGGGGCGGGAGGCGCAAGCAGCGCGGCGGCAGCGAGCAAGAGAATGGAGCAAACGAGGTCCTAACAAAGGGGACGATTCAAGCGCAACTTCATCCAGGCCGAACAACAACAAAAACAACGACATCAAGAAGATATATAAGGGCTACAAATATTCAAGCACGCACACACAAACACACACGCAACAAAAACAACAACAAAACACACAAGCCGAAAGAGGTGTGTGACTTCAGTAACGCCGGGTACAAAAGGAAAAAGAAGTCCAAAACGAACGGCAAGGACGCTTGTGTGTGCACTAACGCTTCTTTCCCTCTTCACAACGTCGGCGGTGCTGCGGATGCACGCACGCGTGCCGGCAAGCACCGCGTGGCGGAGGGGGTGGTGGGGAAGTGAGAAGGAAAGGAGCGGCGCCAGGCAAACAGCTCTACAAGTCCGCCCAGAAAGAATCAACCAATAAAAATAACAAAGGGGGAAATGCAGGCTGTCAATGAGAACAACGAGAAAAACGCAAACAAGAAGGGAAAATAAAAAAGGAGAGGAAAAAGGAATTATATAAAAATAAAAATAGGAAAAAAGAAACAGCATGTTCTCCCTGGTCTCCTTGCGACAACGCATAAAATTAGCATCAGCCACCGCAGCGATTTCGAGTGCTATTCATCGTTTTCTAAGATCATCGGCTGCTGAGGAAACGGAGAGGATTCATGCGCCTTGCCCTCGCCACCCACGCGAGGAGGGTTGTGCGGGGCTTCTGGGCCCTCAAAAAGTGCCCATTGTAACAGACTGCATGTAATGACAACTTTGAAAGAATCAGAAGGCAAAGGTGTAGCTGGTTTGTCCCGGTTTTGTTTGCTGCTTTACCCGACGGCCGTCAAGCCAGAAGGTCGCCTTCACAGTCTCCCACAAGAAAGATCATAAAAACAAAACAAAACAAAAATCAGCTGCACGCACGCATATAGATATAGAGGGGGAGGGGGAGGGGGCGATACTTAATTCTGTGGCTAGAGAGAAAAAGAGAGCGTGGGTTGGGGGAGAGGCTGGACTGAGGAAGGCAATAAAAACAACTTCTTATATGAAATGCGCTTCTAACAGGGGGGATGTGCACCGCCACA